AGCCTTGCATAGTCGATTTGGACTATGTTGTCAGTTGCTGGGTTTAAGCCCTCAAAAATCTGACAGAGGTATAGAGTAGAGACTACATTACATACTTAGGAGATATCCTGAGTTTCAGAATTTTACTGTTTATCTAGAATCTAGCCTATATCATTAATCGACCTAGCTTGATTGGTATCAGTTCAAGAAGCCTATAATTTTGCTACAGCAGACTCAGTACCGCAAGCTCGCATAATGGTTATTGTTGAGCTGATCATAAACTAGTAGGCCATTTTACGATGCACCGTTAAAATGTATCTATGATTTGATTATCATACTAAATACATAGTTTGTTTTATGAAATTCGCAGTTTACCTTTCTGTACAAAACTATGCGTGTCTGTTTCTGATAAGCAAGACACAAGATATGCTATTTACTGTTTTGTGCTTTGTCAAACTGTTAACAAGAGCAGTTAACATTAAAATGGGACAACCCGTTACTATAACGATTGATCATACATACTCTCTTTTTGATTTGCTGTAGTCGGGTAAAAAGGTTTTCAGTGATAAAATAATTCATTTGCGGCACATTCATTAATTTGGACAAAATATCTTTGAATATGTGTGAAAAGCGTAGTGTTTTGTAATTATAATTAGACTTTCTGTGAAATGGGAACAGTCAGACTTGGTTCGCGGAGTCGTTATTTTTTCGGCGCTAGAGACATGTGCGTAGTGACAGAAGAGATAACGCACGCGGCTTTTTGGAAACCTGTATACTATAAACATTGCATAATTTTGTAACTAAACTGATAAAATGTGTAGTAAAAGAGTCAGTAATACTATACATTTCTTCTGGAGCCGAGATAGCTTAATGCTTGCTTATGCATATCTGTTCTTTTGTTTTTGTGTAGTCAACAACACTATCCATTTCTTAACGAGCCTAGATACAGATCTGCGTAACTGTTATTTCCTATAGAACGGCCGTTTTAGACTATCCCATTTGGATTTTTAAAGATATCTACACATCATTATTTGGTAAGCTTCTTAGCGAAAATCTAACGTCACTTTACGATAAACTACAGTCGCCAATTCTCTATACCTATGTTTTCTTTTGCGCATTTACGAAGGTGATAGAAATAGCTGGAATGAAAGGAAGTGTGCTGTCATCGAGGCCAATGAGTATTCCTGACCTAGTCAATATGCTTATTGAAAGTTTGCGAATTTCATCTCGCTACATTAAAATCTGAAAGCGACCCAAACGTCTAGCCATAACAAACTCTTCCTGCTTTTGATCCTGGACAGTGTGACATTTAGACCATCGTTTCAAATCGACATTTGCACGCACCAAACGTGATTGGCTGACATTTACAAGGAGGGCTATCGTTTGTGGCCCAAAATAAACACATAAAACTTTCGTCTACATATCTAGTTAATAATAGAAGTTATTGGATTTATGAATGGAGCACGTATTTGGCAGATCGACCTGAATATTGGAGTTTGTTTGTACGTCATTCGGAAGCATTTGGCTGGCTCGGAGATTTCTATGGACGGAATCTCAATGATATCTGTAAGTGCAATTTGATTCACCAATGAGGTATGCGCCATATGCGTATGCGCATAGTAGTAAATATTTAAATGTAACTGCAGTCCGACTGTCGGGCGACGAAGAGTATGCCAGTTATGCCAATCAATATAAAATGTTGCTTTTTATCGTGTTTGAGTCTCATTAATCATTGCTATCTTGGCGCACCTATGACTTATTGAGTGTATTTATTTGTTATGCGTACATAATTACATTATAAACAAAACGATAGCACCTCGATCGGGGCGCTGCTAATTTGAATGCCTTAAATTCTACCAAAAACCCTCGCGGCTAGGTATTATATCGTAGCACTTTAGTCCAGATATTCGCTACGCCAGCTACGTCGTAGCACATCACTGAAGTGTTAAGATCTGCAGATAGTAATACCCTGCTCAGATTAATGAGCTACTCAGTACTCGGTTATTCGTACGTGACAGTGATATCGCGTGTTATTTGTTAGCTCGCGCATTCGTGTTTATAGTCTGCCATTATATTGTCACGCTATTGGTTCAAATGCGAATCTCCTTTTCCTCAGTAGACTACTTAGATTAGAATATGTAATTTTGAAAGAAGTTCGGTTTCAATATGAAGAGCACGGTATAACCATCTCCCGTTTGCGAATCTTATATGAATCGTTCATGAATGAATGACCGACACATGTATTCTTGCGTTTTTTGTCTTAACTTCTTGTTTGTGCAACCAAATATCACCTATTATCTGCAAAAACGCTGGTCCGATGTTAATGCAATTTTCAGTGATAGATTCGCATTTCACTGGTGCATGTTCTTGGACAGATGTTCCGTGAACAACTCACCAGAGGGCGCTGCAGTAAACCACCGTAGCTTGGACATGAATATCTGGTGTCCTCCTCAAGATTCATCTAGTAATACTGTTATATCACTAATGTTTATTTAAGTGAGGCGGAGATCAGGTTTCAGTTGAAGCAAGCCCTGACGGCATACCGCCGTTTTTCTTGAGACAACTTGCCTACTCTTATACAATAAATGTTTGTCTTTAGGTGTATTTCCCGAAACATGGAAACAAGCAAATATAACACCCGTTTTCAAAAATGTCAACAGTGAAAATGTAGAGAACTACCGACCTATATCAATTCTGTCCGCTTTGGCGAAGCTTTTTGAAAGTCTGGTGCATAACAAAATATATCCATCTTTGTATAATAGTATAATAAGACAAAAACATTGTTTTGTAAAAAGACGGTCGACATGCACAAATCTTATAATCCTCACAAACTTTCTTTTTGAGAGTTTAGATGAAATACAAGTAGATTCTATTTATACAGATTTCCAAAAGGCATTCGACAAAGTGGACTACGAATTATTACTTAACAAAATGGCATTTGCAATGGGATTTGTGGCGACTTACTTAGGTGGTTTGCATCATATAAGTGTCTAATAGAAGTCAGCGAACGGTATTTGCCGGTGCCCAATCGAACACTGTGTAAGTTTCTTCCGGGGTGCCGCAGGGATCTATTCTTGGGCCCTTGCATTTTATTATTTTTATTAATGACATTAACAAGTGAGACTCGCGGTGAGCTCGGCGGCCTACAATGTCTTCACTGGTTACTTACATTCTTTATGCTTCCCCATGGCGGGTTGCAGCGGGCTGTCGTCCACCACCACTTTGGGCGGCGAGACGCGCGGCGAGCTCGGCGGCTCGCTCGAGCTGGTGCTCGCCTCGCGGCCTGCCATCTCTTCCGCGCCCGAACTACTGCAAGGAGAACATACAGAGTTAGTATTTGTAAAAGTGTACATAAAGACAAGACAGTAAAGTATTTGAAATAACACTCAAATATTTGTTTGACTAGACCTGGCATCTAAAAAGTGTGAAGTAACAGGATTTAACATTTGGCTGTTCCGCCGATAGTTTTGTATTGTAGGCCATTTGGGTGGCCCTTAAAATACGGAGGTAGGCTCCGCTAGCTCAGAATTTGAGGGTCATGTTGCTGTGTTCCCTAGGAATGTTGTGTTGGTGAGGGGTAGGCTCGCTGATGCCGCAGCGAGGCTGCTGCTGCAGCCACTTGGGGTAGATGGCTCTATAGCAGCTCGTGTAGTTACCTGAACGCGTCCTCCTCTTGGGGTGCGCGGCGACGGAGACGCGGCTCAACTAGCGGCGAGCCTGGAAGGCTGGAGGACTTGAACCACTCGGAGTAGATGGCGCTACAGCTGCTCGTGTGTTACCTAAACGCGTCCTCCTCGTAGGGGGAGTGCGGGGTGCACGGCGACGGCGGCGTGGCGGGGGGAGCTGGCTCGCGGCGAGCCTGCGGCTTGAACCACTCGGGGTAGATGGATCTATAGCTGCTCGTGCAGTTACCTGAACGCGTCCTCCTCTTGGGGGGAGTGCGGGGTGCGCGGCTCGGCTCGCGGCGAGCCTGCGGCTTGAACCACTCGGGGTAGATGTCTCTACAGCTGCTCGTGTAGTTACCTGAACGCGTCCTCCTCTTGGGGGGTGCGCGGCGACGGCGGCGTGGCGGGGAGGGGGGGGGGGGCGGGCGAGGCGGCGCGGCTCGGCTCGCAGCGAGCCTGCGGCTTGAACCACTCGGGGTAGATGTGTCTGCAGCTGCTCGTGTAGTTACCTGAACGCGTCCTCCTCTTGGGGGGAGTGCGGGGTGCGCGGCGACGGCGGAGACGGGATCAGGCGAGCCTGCGGCTTGAACCACTCGGGGTAGATGTGTCTACAGCTGCTCGTGTAGTTACCTGAACGCGTCCTCCTCTGGGGGGGAGTGCGGGGTGCGCGGCGACGGCGGCGTGGCGGGGCGGGCGAGGCGGCGCGGCTCGGCTCGCGGCGAGCCTGCGGCTTGAACCACTCGGGGTAGATGTGTCTACAGCTGCTCGTGTAGTTACCTGAACGCGTCCTCCTCTTGGGGGGAGTGCGGGGTGCGCGGCGACGGCGGCGTGGCGGGGGGGGGGCGGGCGAGGCGGCGCGGCTCGGCTCGCGGCGAGCCTGCGGCTTGAACCACTCGGGGTAGATGTCTCTATAGCAGCTCGTGTAGTTACCTGAACGCGTCCTCCTCTTGGGGGGAGTGCGGGGTGCGCGGCGACGGCGGCGTGGCGGGGGGAGCGGGCGAGGCGGCGCGGCTCGGCTCGCGGCGAGCCTGCGGCTTGAACCACTCGGGGTAGATGGCGCTCAGCGTCTCCACGAGGTCGTGGTCCAGCGTGACGCGCCACGAGGCGCGCCCCTCCGACCCCTCCGACCCGCCTCCGCCGCACGACGAACGGCTCTCTGTCAAAGAAAACAATACTAGATTAGTATTGATATCAATTTCCTACATGGAATATTTCATGGCACCAAATATTCATCATAAATAGAAATTGAAAAATTCATTAGCGACCGCCGGGACTTAAACCCGGGACCGTGGGGTACCGTGATCGTCACTTCGAGACGAGCATCAAGAGGTTGAGAAATTCATCAGGGTCCGCCAGGCGCCTGTAGCTCAGTTGGCAGAGCGGTGGGAGGGTACCCCACGGTCCCGGGATTAAGTCCAGGCTGTCGCTAATGAATTTTTCAATTTTCTCAATTTCAATTGATGAGAACAATATAGCATTGTGAGTGCATTAAAAATCCCAATACATTGCACCAAATATATCTCAAATATTTAATTAAAGTACACTTTTAAATCAAAGAGTCGAAGTTTGAGTCGAACTGGCACCCACGCAGATTCGATCATAGACTGTCACTGTGACAATCTGCGTCGGAAAATAGGAAGTGCGTCGCTGCGTACGCGCCGAATGAGGTGGGCGCGACCCGCGATCAATATTGGGCGAGGTTATGTATGCAAGTACGTGTACCAGTAGATCTAGTTTAATGGTTTCGGGTCCTTGAATTAGTTGGGTATTGAGTCGAAAAGTTGGGCTTATTATGAGGTTATAGACTGGTCAAGTAGTCCGATTACAGATGACCCCGAAATAAACCTCAAAGAGGCATACACATGACATTGTATCCTATGACTTATTGTTGATGATTTTCAAAACAACTTTTCTTATTTTAAGAAGATTGTGTTTGTTGATGTTGACAAATAATGCTGGGATTTAAAAGTCCTACTAACGCCAAGGTTTCCCACAGGCGTACGTGCGCCAACGCAAGTATTATTTTATGCAGCCGACTCAAAAGCATATCGCCATTTACTAACAGCAAACTACTAGGTATATTGAGTACCTTTTCTTCGCTACTATACACAAGTAGCCGACTACAAGACTATTTGTTTCTATAACACCAAAACATACCGTAAATCATTATTCGCCAGCTAAATTTGGCTTTCTGGAGAAATCCTCCGAATACCATAAGCTGTAAAGAATAAAGATGTTGCCGTGTTCACAGAGGCGATGAAAAGCGACGTATTACGTAATGTTTAAAGCTCGTAATAAAGCTGAAAATACGAGGCGAATAATAAATAAAACATCTGTACGCACACGGTGAGGTATGCATTAAAAAAGCTAAAGTCCGGTAAACAAATGCAGACTTCGAAAATTCGACAATGTTCGCAACAGCAGTGGGTGCAGTGATCATTAATATTGTCACATAGGTAATGATGATAAACGACTTGCTGAAAAGGTTCCAAAATACATACATAATGGAAGAATCAAGACTCATTCACTATCACTAGGCACACTAGACCTTTCAAGTCACCTTGAGTAAGTGTTCAAACATTACACAAGAGCTAAGTTGAGTTGAACGTCTGTTACGCATCTTTACGTAGTTATTACAGAGCACAATTTGTAAACAAACGGAGCACGTGCGTGGCTGACTCATTACATTACAAAGTTCGCGGCGAATCACGATGGCAGATGTACATCATAAGCCCACTGCCAATTAATATTCTGACCGTGCCGAAAGTATGCGTTGCTGATAAAAATATCTTCATACACACACACCTCATGTCTATATCCCTTGCGAGGTAGGCAGAGGGCAAATGTCCGCAAAAACGGTCGTCTGACAAATATTTGAGGCGTCTTCTCTAGTTTCTAAAGCCTTGCGTCATGTGCGTTTTAGCGGGTTTTGAAACTAGACGACTATTTAAGGGTCATTTCGGATTTTGTATCACCTTGTGACAGGTCAAAATATCTTTATACGCTGCCATACACTTACACGATAAGGAAGACTAAAACTTTCCCTTTTCTAGACTATGATCTTTGAAGTTACTTCCTAAAATAACCTTTAAATCGTAGAAGGTTCTCCTTCTCAATATCAAATTTTTAAGGAACGTGACCATGGGGAGCTACCATTAGGGGATCATAGAATTTCACTATTATGCCGCCAATCAGACTAAAAATATCGATCCACACATCAAGCTTTCCCATGAGCTAATGATAAATGATTTAACACCGGCTTGGTCTATTCTAAACTGGGTTACCACCGCCAAAGCGGTAATTAGCGTCTATAAGTAAATCAGATAACACGACCCAATCGTATCAGCATCAGCAGCAAATCACACCGTAGACAGGAGGCGTATTTTTAAAACATAAAATAATATGCTGCTTATTAGGAATTGCGTCCACTCAGACCACTGGCGCCAATCTGCGAACATCATCGGTCTCATGCAGATCTTGCGACAACAACTCTTATTAGTTTCTTCCTCTTCTGTAAACTTCTTGTATTTTAGCGGGACAATCGCAAAACATAGTAGTAGTAAGACCACTCGTCTCAATCTGTCGCATGCGAAATATGATTTCTAATGATTCAAAAATCCTGCCCCAGGCCGGGATGAAACGAAACGAGGACGAACAAATCATCCAAATGTCGGAATGGTGACACATTACGAGTCCTAGACTGAGATTTCGGGTGTCTTATTTAGAGATATTTAAAGACGCGGTGAATGACGAAAGTATGATTAAAAGCTGGTATTCATAGAAGTGACTAACTAGAATTCTAGACTATGCATTATGATGCAGATGGGTGAAATTGCCAAGCCTGTCCAATAAATGACTCTTAATAGGTTTTGATGTTGGTGAGTATCTCGATTTAGGTGGCCAAAAGGGCACGTATGACAAAGAGCCAATGATTGACAAAGCATCTCCACGGCCAGTCGGACCGATGACTTAAAGATAGCCGATTGTAGTGATTGGATGGCCAAACGGGTGATCGTGCCTAATGGGGTGTCCTGGAGGCGGTCTACGTCCAGTACTGTATTACCTAGTATGCTGTTGTAAATTACAACAGTATACTTGTAATGTGATTTCTGTTTTCAAATGGTGAGAGTCAGTGTGTGCTGGCTGGGCCATCCTCTGCTGCGGCTGTTTGTCTGTCGAAGCTGGTGTCTCTATCAGCACAACTAGATACCCTGGCAACGGCCGCCTACACGCTATCTGTATTATAATATAACTTTGGCATTAAGATTCTATAAGAAGAATTATCTCCATGTTTCGAGTGTCAGCGTGTGCTGGACCGTCCTCTGCTACGGTTGTATGTCTGTCGAAGCGAGTGTCTCTATCAGCACAACTAGCTACCGTGTCACCGCCCGCCCACACGCTCTCTGTATCATAACTTTGGCATCAAGATTTTAGTATAAGCAGAATTATCTCCATGTTCTGAGTGTCAGCGTGTGCTGGACCGTCCTCTGCTGCGGTTGTTTGTCTGTCGAAGCTATGGTCTCTATCATCGCAGCTAGATGCCGTGTCAACGCCCGCCCACACGCTCTGATCATAACTTTGGCACGAAGATTCTATAAGAAGAATTATCTCCATGTTCTGAGTGTCAGCGTGTACTGGAGAACCGTACTCTGCTGCGGTTGTTTGTCTGTCGAAGCGGGTGTCTCCGTCATCGCAACTAGCTAACGTGTCAAAGCCCGCCCACACGTTCTCTGTATCATAACTTTGGCATCAAGATTCTCTAAGAAATATTATCTCCATATTCTGAGTGTCAGCGTGTGCTGTTGCTGGACCGTCCTCTGCTGCGGTTGTTTGTCTGTCGAAGCTATGGTCGAAGTGGGTGTCTCTATTATCGCAACAAGCTACCGTGTCGTCGCCCGCCCACACGCTCTCTGTATCATAACTTTGGCATCACGCGACGCCACTCGGTTACTTAGTCAATCGGTCAATGGATGGAGTCACCTTGTTACAATAATAATATCGTTTCGAACAATGATCTGAGCAAACAAACAATATTTTGATAATATACGTGTTTATGTTTCGAATTACAGTTAGCTATTAAACTCGTAAAACTGTTGTTAGAGAATTGGGTTTTGAAGTGTTCAGAGTTTCAGACAAGTCACGCGGCGCGCGTGTACGTGGAATTGTCGGAAAAATACGAGAAAATATAAAAAGTCGAGCGAGGTGGCCGGCAGTCGCATGTTCGTGACACATCAATCAGCGTGTCACCGGGAGAGACCGGCGCGGGAGTCGCCATGTGCGTGCTCATTTGATATTTTGTTCGACGGATCAACAGAGACTATAAACCTTTTTCATTAGCCTTCACGTTTTATGAATGGAAACACAGAAACGCATGTGTTTTTAGTCGACTTAATAACAGTCTTCAAAAAGTTCACAAACCATCTAAAATGTGTTTTTTCAAAGACGCCTCTTACTTAAGCAAATCTTGCATATTGTTTGAAAGGATTTGTTCCACACTTAGACCTATAGTCGACGGGTCTTCTGGATCTGATGATGGAATTCTGGAGAAATCGTGAGAATTCAAAGTGGGCTAAATGGGTGTACAGGGCTACACTCCCTACCCTACCAAATAATAAACAAAAGACGCGTAAACCTACATCGTGAGAACTCTTCTCAATTCCAGAGACATGTACCAAAAGGTCTCACTTTCAATATCTTTGTTCAAATTTAATTATTCTTTGGCATACCAGTCGTCGGACAATCAGATTAGCAGTCACGGTCATTGAATACATCTGCAACTCCAGATGCAAGAGATACAATTCCAAACAGTCTCTATCCAGTGCCAAGAAATTGGACAACGACAGCATTTCATTCTTGATAATAACTGTATGAAGATGGTAGCTATTGATATTTTCAATGAAACCTATACCGCCAAGTCGTCAATAAATGTCCGAGTTTCCATCCAAATTGAAACAATATTTTTGTGCAAATTGAACTTTCGCCTGAAAATGTATGTCATCGATTTGTGAATGGAATCGACCAATATTGGTTCTACGAACTTCGCGTAGGATTTAGTGAATGGCAATTGTAAATGTGCAGGAAGGTTGTTATGATGACGTCAGACTTGTATGCAACAACAAAATCATCTTGTTCATAGATGTATTTGATCTAACAGCCTACCAGAATGACCTAATTCAATCGATGAAACGCGTGACTTAGAATTGATTTGTTATCTAGCTTTGTTTTCAATATTAACGACAATATCCATTGCGTCTATGAAATAAACAGTTACACTTTCTAAGTACTAAATTCAAGTCTAAGCCCAGTTACACGATGTATTACAATAAAGTATATCTAAACAGACATAAAACAGTCACATGTACGTACAGTAGTCTGCGGTTTTGCGTTACCTTGAGTTTTACGCGTCTACCGTCGAGAAACATGCATTA